CAAAAGATCAGTGCATTCCTCACTGTAAGCTCAGATTCCCCTGCAATGTCTTTCACCGGGTAGCCAGTGTGGCCTGTGCTTGTGGCATCTCCCACTAAGACTACTCAAGTCTCAGCCACACTGTGAGTTATACCACACACCCTCAGGTTTTTTTTTTTTTTTTCACTGTGCCAGTTCATAAGCTCCACACATTCACTAGGTCTTACTCTCCTGTTATTACTCCCCACCAGAGTAAGGTTTTTCTGTTTGGCTGATTGTTGGGTACAGCCCCAAGCTGGTGCAACTGTTGCGTATGTCCAAAATGGTGCCTGCTCTATTGGTTCCTAGGCTTTTGTAAGGTGATTGGAGAGATAGAATCATGTCCATACTGTCCCTTTTATTTTTTCTCTCTAGTTAGGCTGGTGTTTTTTCCCCCACAGGGCTTCAAGCCTTGTTCCCTTTAGGCTCTTCCTGCCACTTTTCTGCCAGTGTCTCAGGCTACTGTGGTTTTATCTCACTACTCTTTCCAGTGCTGGTGCAGAGCCTCTCAACAGCTAGAGTCCCAAGCTGTGGGTACCTGTGCCCTCCACATAGGTCTACCATGTCCCTCTAATTACGGAAGAGTTTCCTCTGCTTTTTTTCCCTAATTCTTCCCTGAGACTACACTATCTTCACTTTTATTAATCTGTCTTCTCCTCAACTATCAGTAAGCTCCCTTCTTATTCCACCATCTTGTCTCCTACTGATTTTTGAATATTGAACAATCCATGCATACCAGAGATAAATCCCACTTGGTTGGGGTAAATGATTTTTCTGATGTGTTGTTGGACTTGTTTGGCTAGAGTTTTATACAGGATTTTTGCTTTTGTGTTCATGGGAAATTGGTCTGTAGTTCTCTTTCTCAGTTGTGTCTTTTTCAGGTTTAGGAATTAAGGTAATGCTGGCTTCATAGAAAGAACTTGGGAGAATTCCCTCCTTTTCAATTATTTTGAATAGCTTGAGAAGAATTGGAATTAGTTCTTTAAATGTCTGGTAGAATTCAGCAGTAAAGCCATGCAGTCCTAGGCTTTTCTTTTTTTGGAGGATGTAGGCATCATTTACTATGCCACAGTGCTGGCCCTGGAAATGGAATTTTGAAATCCATGTATACAACAAATTTTTGAATTTTGTATGAAATACTTATGTTATTAAAATTATAAATGTATTTCAAAACACATCTTTAGTTCCATTCTTCCATGAATTATCCAAAGTATAATCATATATATGTATTCTATTTTTTGCCATAATTTCAGTATTGCATGCTGATCAGTGATTGTAACATGCACAAAATTTGTTTTGAGAAACAACAGATTTTTTTCTTAGTACTTGAAGGTTAACTAGTAGAATCTTATTTTATGAAACTTTTTACTATGTTTGATCTGTTCATTCACAGTAAGAACATGCCAAATTTATCTGTCATAGTATTGTTTTTGTAATATCAACTTGTTTTCATCAGATTAGTTCTTGTGAATACGAGACTGCTGTGAAAGTATATAAAAAATCACAGCTATTTTATCTTATTTGTGAACTGTAACTTTATGAATAAGGTATCACTCTTTTTTTTTTAAAGATTTATTTTATTTATTTGAAAGAGTTACACAAAGAGATAGAGAGGTCTTCCATCTGCTGGTTCACTCCCCAGATGGCCACAATTGCTGGAGCTGAGCTGATCCAAAGCCAGGAGCCAGGGGCTTCTTCTGGGTCTCCCACATGGGCACAGGGGCCCAAGCACTTGGGCCACCTTCTACTGCTTTCCCAGGCCACAGCAGAGAGCTGGATCTGAAGAGGAGCAGCCAAAACTAGAACTGGCACCCATATGGGATGCCAGCACTTCAGGGCAGGGCTTTAAACTGCTGTGCCACAATGCCAGCCCCAGGTATCACTCTTTATACCTTTTGTCTCAGTTGAATTGAATTATATTTTATTTGAGATTTATAGCAATATAGTAGCATTTTTCTTTTTGTATCAATCAGCTGATATAATGAATGACACAGTACTATTTGTACCAGGAAGTTCATGACTAACCGACCACTTCAGAGGGAACAAATGGTCATTGATGTGTTCCACTCTAGGAAGGCAACTGTTCCACAGAGATTTGGGAAAAACTAGCCACAATGTGCTAGACGATTCCTGATGTCACTTTTTATTTGGATTTAGAACCCATTTTGGCAGTGGCAAGACAATGGACTTTGGTAAGATTTGTGATTCCTTAGATTATGTTAAAAAAAATGAACCCAAACATTGACTTGCAATACATGGCCTGTATAAGAAAAAGATCTCAACACAACAGCAAAAGGAGTGTAACAACAGAATGAAGAAGTTCAGGGGAACTACCAAAGCCAATGTTAGTGCTGGCAAAAAGCTGAAGGAATAAAGATTTTGTGATGACTTTATCTATGGTGATTTTGTGACTTTTTCATAAGAATTAATAAACTGTAAAACTTTAAAAAAATGTGTGGAATGAACTGTGTATTTTCTGTGTGGAGTACATGTGCTTTACTCAGTTAAATGATCCAGTAAACACTACAAAGAAGAAATGATGACAGTCTACAATGACTACTTTGTGCAGCAAATACTAGAGTGTGGGGCAATTATTAGCTCAATCTCAGGCATAACCATGGTCTAGCTTTTCCTTTTCCTGCACTGTTTATTCTAGCAAATTGCACTTGGATGATGAAGTCAAACCAGTGGTTGGAATACTTTTTTTCTGTAGCCCAATCATCCCCTCAAAGCAGCACTGCTTTAAAGAAAGCTTTCCAGGTGCTCTGCCCAGCCTATCTTGAAGGATCTCATCAAATAATAAAGCATTTATTCATTTTTGTCAAAGTTGAGTCACTGGTATCATTATCCTCATAAAAATATTACTAATCTTATCTTTAAATTTTATTTCATATTCTTTTGGCACCACACTTTTTATTCCAACCTTCAAAGAATATAAAGAGGTGACGGCATCTGATGTCAAACCATGCCAATGATAATAAAGGAATGGAAAAACAACAACAAAAAGAAAATGATTTAAAAAACAAATATTTCACATTTCACAGCAGTGCTCTGGCAGCATGGCAAGCATTTCTGGCCAACTTCTTCAACCAACAGAGATTTGAACAACCCCCTGATCTTAGCAAAGGTACTACCACATTTGCCCCTGAGAGTTTACATTCTGAGTCACTACATGTCACACTGCTCCACTCAGCAGACTTTGTAAACTTGATCTTCAGAAGTAACTGTATTGTGCATGATTACAATGAGAACAGACTAAAAACACAACAGATAATGGCAGAAAAGTAAACCAAGTATCCTGTTAGGCATCAGGAGATCACTGCTGGCCAAGTCCTTCATGTTATCACCTTCAAGAAAAACTGATATTCATTTCTCAGCAAACCCAATATTCAGAAGCTTACCCAGCAGGCTCAAGTCAAAGGTTTTAGAGATAGTCTCCCCCTTCTTGCCCTATTCTTTTTCTTTTTTGGTAAATATTTCATATAAAACATGAAATCAAGTTCTGCTTTATATAAAAACTGAATATTTTTAATAGTTAAAAATATGTATCTTTAAATTTCTGTTTAAAAAGACATATAGTATCAGTACTACAGAAGATTGGATTTAGTCCCTCTACCCACACAAAGATATATTAAGGCAAAGGCTCCTGGAAAGGCATGTCCACCCTGGGTGTGGGCTGGAGATTGAGGTGAACACATTGATACAGCTGGTTGCCTGAACAGACCTGTCCAAAGGGTTAGATCACAACCATGTTTTCACTTATTGCACCTATAACATGGAGCACATTTCTCATCTGGGTCAGTTGTAGCACCTCAGTAAAATTGAAGTAACAGGACTTCATTCACAGCTAGTATTGCATGAAAGAAATCAGAAACTTATAAGTAACACAAAAACATTATCTAAAAATCTAGTACAAGTGCAGTCTCAAAACCCCTTCATTCGTATGTAAATTTTACACTACATCTGGAAGAATTAATATTAAAAACATAATTCTTCCAGAGTACACAAGCACAATGGAGTGCTGTTTTTAAGGATTCATGATACAAATATTGTGTTACCTTAGGCACCTCGCACATAAATTAGGGAAAACAGTCTTACCAGAAAATGATTTGACAGTAACATCTGTTGACTCCAGTTTCAGGATTTATGGTTCACCCTGAAGTTACACAAATCTAGCTTTTTTCCCTACTCTGCAAGGTTAGAAAAAGCAGGAAGAGAAAATAGGTGTTTCAAGCATTTCCTATCAAACAAAAATATTACAAGCTTATGGACAGGTTGGGTGGGGGAAACTGATAAAAAGCCCAAATGGGAAATGTTGAAGGAAAAAAATTAGTTCATCCATCTTGGAGTCAGTATTTGTTCCTAATGTGGAAAAAAATACAGAGTGGAAAAAAATCTATTGGTATAGATTCTGTGATTCTGTGGTATAGCATGAGGATGAAGGCAGGTGCGGCCTGCATGTCTAGGATCAAAACCTGCTGCACCTTTCCAGACAAGTGACAATCCTAACGAAGAAGGCAGAGACGTATTATAAGGAAAACCTATAACACAATCTCGGGTCTTCGAAGACGAAATAAAAACCAGCAGCTAGGAAATAGGGCCAGCACTGTGGTATAGTGGGTAAAGCCCCCTGCAGTGCCAGCATTCCATATGGGCGCCGGTTCAAGACCCGGCTGCTCCACTTCTGATCCAGCTCTCTGCTATGGCCTGGGAAAGCAGTAGAAGATGGCCCAAGTCCTTGGGCTGCTGCACCCACGTGGGAAACCTGGAAGAAGCTCCCGGCTCCTGGCTTCATGTTGGTGAAGCTCAGGCCATTGTGCCCAACTGGGGAGTGAATCAGCAAATGGAAGACCGACCTCTCTCTCTCTCTGCGCCTCTCCTCTCTGTGTGTAACTCTGACTTCAAACAATAAATATACATCTTTAAAAAAAAAAAAAAAACAACTCGGCAGCCAGGAGCTAACAAAAAGTCCCTATACCTACCCAGGACGGCCACCACTGCCAACCTCAGGCGTTCTGTTCTGTGGCGAGGCTGCGCAAATCAGCACGCGGGCGAGGGTCCCCGCTTCTTTTCCCAAAGCTTCCTTCCTTAGCGCCTCAGAGATCCACGCTACGGGAGGCCCAGCAGAGGCTCTCAGTGCCCAGCAGTCCCCTCCCCGCTGCCTTCGGCTCAGAGCTTGGATCACAGCCACAGTGTCTGCTAGGCTTTATGACGCTCCGAGGTCTCTGGTTGCGTCACTTCCAGCCCAGGCAGACTGGGGCCGCACCGTCCTTCCCAACCCCGACCCACACTCAGGGGCCCGGATGGACCAACCCACACCCGTGAGCCAATGGCGTGCTCATCAGCCCCTCTCCGGGGCGACACTGACGCCGGGAAGAGAAACGTTGGCCTCCTCCCAGAGTGGGGGCAGCAGTGGCACCAGGGTCAGAGACGCTGACCAGTTCACAGGCCTCCGTCCCTGTGACTCCGGCGGCACTCCCAGGCCGCCCTCCTCTCCACTGCAGTATTCTTCCCTGCACCTGCCCACTACAAGAGCCGGGGCTCGCTGCTTGCTGCTTCCCAGTCATGGACCCTGTCTGAAGGCCGCTTTGGAGCCAAATCCCGAGGTAAAGCTAGAAGACAGTGGGGCGAGCCTGACGCGGAGCCCAGGCAGAGGCTGAACCCGCGCCTTTTATTTGTGCTACGGGGGCGGCGATGGCAGCGCTGGGTGCTGCACAGTGGGCCGGGCCACTCTCCTCACCACCCGGAGCCTGGGGGAGTGAGGGGCGCCCTGACCGGCAGTGACTGCGTCCTCCTCAGATGCCATCATTCCCTGTCCCGGGCCCTCTAGCGCAGCCATTTTTTCTTCTCCGAGGAGACTCTGGCTGGGCCCGGCTCCCCTCCTGCTTCTCCACTTTCTCCTTTTGGGCCTCTCCGTATTCCCTCTTTCAGTTGCTCCCTGGCTGCTTGCCCCACCACTTCTCCCTGGCCCAACTGCCACATTGTCTGAAGGGGAGCTTGAAGATAAAGTGTTTGTAATTTCTAATTAGACGTCTTAAAAAAAATCGCTCTAAGTTAAACCAATGATTATTTCTTTTCCTTGTCATTGGTAGCCTTTTTTAGATCGTTAGCAAATCTATAAAATTATATTATTGATTGCTATTAGTGTGCATTTTGAATGAACAATAATTGTTTAAAAACACTTGACCCAGTTAAAGGGGATAGTTAAGTATAAATAACTTCTGGCACCTTGAATGATAACAAGAAGAGACATGAAATAAGTCTTCAGCACTCTCTACTGGTGGGTCCTGGCCCCGCAGCCTGGTCGGGTCAGGGGCGTGGCCTCCAGTGGAGGCGGGAATAGCTGAGGCCTTTTGGGCTCCCACATTCGGCCGCTAGGACATACACAGACTGGGACTTGCGTTGCCACCGGCACCACCAGCGGCCTGGACGGCAGCAAAGTCTGCCCGGTCCCCTCCACGATGTCCAAGGCCAAGGGCGCCAAGAGGGTTGCATAGCGGTGGAGAACCATGTGAGGAATAACCAAGTGCTGGGAATTGGAGGTGGTTCTACAGTTGTCCATGCTGTGCAGTGAATAGGCAAGGACACGGAGTGAAAGGCAGCTGTTAGTGGGAGACAGACCTTTTCCCTTCTGCAGGGTTTGAGCAAATATAGCAGTGACAAGAAGAAAATTGTGGAGAGTGAAACACCTCGGATATGCTTTTGTCTCCACAGCTGAAAGAGTGAAACAGAAGAATCTGAATCTTGGCTGTATTCCCACTTCCTTCCAGGCCCGGCAGCTCATGCTGCTGTATAGTTTAACCCTCAGTGACCTGGATCGACACCCAGAGAGGCTGTCTGACTCAGGGGAAGATCGTGGCAGGCTATGCCAGTCACTTCATTGTGATCGCTGATTTCAGGAAAGATTCAAAGAGTGTCAGGGATTAGTGGCATAAGGAAATCCCCAGATGTGGGGAGCAACTCGGACTAGACTGTTACTCGAATTAAGACTTATTCTATGCATCTGCTCTCCCACAATATGGCGCTGGGAGAGGAGGAAACAGCTTCTACACAGCTGCCTCCAGTTCAACCAATAAACAGCAGGACCTGCTCCTGATTGGAGGAGAGCAGCGTACTCGGTGTGTGGGTAGCAGAGTTGGGATTGGTGGAAGAGGACTATAAAGGAGGAGAGAGACAACATGCACCAGGAACATCTATCTGAAGGAACACCTGTGCAGCCCCCGAGAGAGGGGGAGCGACATAATGGTGCCGTGACTCGGATATGAAGCCTAGGTAGGGTTTAGTGTCGTTCCTCCACGAAGAGGGGGAGCAACACCCAGAGATCATCCCAATAATTCCATGGTATACTTTCTTACCTTAGCTAGATTTGACCCTGTTTGGAATTTAAGTTCAAGAATGTAGGGCATAGGCACATAAATGTGATTTACATGAGAATATGTTATTTTCAAATAAAAATTCTTATGATGTTAAAAACTTAAAAATATTTTTGTGAGGCTGGCGCTGTGACATAGTGGGTAAAGCCGTGACCTGCAGTGCCAGCATCTCATTTGGGCACTGGTTCATGCCCCAGCTATTATGCTTCCAATACAGTTCCCTGTTACTGACCTGGGAAAAGCAACAGAAGATGGCTCGTTTGGCCACAAGTCACCCATGTGGAAGACTTAGATGAAGCTTTTAGCTCTTGGCTTCAGCCTGGCCTAGTGTTGGCTATTGTGTCTATCTAGGGAGTTAACCAGTAAATGGAAGAACTCTCACTTTGTCTCTCCCTCACTCTCTAACTTTCAAAATAAAGAAATCTTTAAATATATATACATATATGTATGTGTGTACATATTTATATTTATATTTATATTTATATTTATATTTATATTTATATATAGTCAGTCTCATATCTAAAATGCAAATATCAGAACTTGGAATTATGGTTGAATTGTTTAAAACATTAATTTCTTCATCACAAGATCACTGTCTTTGTTTTACAAAGTCAGTAACTCTTCTTACTCTTTGGTCTCTTTTTTAACTACACCTTTGATCCTCACCAAAATGTAGTACACTGACACAACTCCAGATTGTTTGAGATATTTCTGTGTACTCTTTGCCCATTATGATCATTTTCTTTATCTTTACATCAGATTACCTTGGCATATACCAGCCTTTTGCACTTTAGAACTAAAATTAAAGTTTCTCTTTAATTCCACACAATATGCTCATGAGATTTTTTTTCCTAATTACCTCTGGTTACTAGAGTCTAGGTGTCCAGTTAATAGAGGAATGCTAGGAAGAAAGATCATTCCTAAGTGTTAGAATGAGCAGCATAATTACAACTCTAATGGGAAGTTAACAGTCAGTGATGAAATTCCAGCAGAGTAATCTGATTTGGTTTCACATACTTTTTTCTTTTTTCCATTTTAATTAATTAAGTAATTTTTAAAGATTTTATTTATTTACTTAACAGGTAGAGTTACAGACAGTGAGAGGGAGAGTCACAGAGAGAAGTCTTCCATCCACTGGTTAACATCCACTGGTTAATTCAATGGCAGGAGCTGGGCCAATCAGAAGCCAGGAACCAGGAGCTTCTTCCTGGTCTCTCACGCAGGTGCAGGGACCTAAGCACTTGGGCCATCTGCTGCTTTCCCAGGACATAGCAGAGAGCTGGATTGGAAGAGGAGCAACCGGGACTAGAACTGGTGTCCATATGGGATGCCAGCACTGCAGGTGGAGAATTAACCTACTGTGCCACAGTGCCAGTCCCTTTTAATTTATTTTTTAAGGTAAACAAAATTCATATATACAAATTTGGGCTTGCAGGGATACTTTCTACCCATGCTGCGACCCTTCCTTTCTTATGCTTTAATTTTCATAATCCATTTTCATAATCTATTACACTCATAAGATTAACCCTAAACTAAGTAAAAAATTCAACAAAGAGTAAGCAGGAAATAACACTGTTCCTCAAAAGTAGAGACAAGGGCTATAAACAATCATTGAATCTCAAAATGTCATTTTTGCTCATATAAAAACTTTTTGTGTATTCTATTAGTTACCACAGATCAGGGAAATAATATGGTATTTGTCTTCCTGAGACTAGCATATATCACTAAATATAATGGTTTTCAGTTTCATTCATTTTATTGCAAAATACAGGATTTCTTTCTTTTTTCCAGCTGAATAGTATTCCATAGTGTGTGTGTGTGTATCACATTTCCTATATCTAGTCATTGGTTGATGGACGTTTGGGTTGTCTTCCACAATGGCTGTACTAGTTTACAACCCCAACAATAGTGGTTAGGGTACCCTTTTCCACACATCCTCATCAGCATTAATTTTTTTATTGATTTCTGTATGAGAACCATTTTAACTGGGGTAAGGTGAAACCTCATTTTGGTATTTATTTGCATTTTCCTGATGGCAAGTGATCCTGAGTATTTTTTCATGTGTTGGCTATTTGAATTTCCTCATGTGAAAAACATCTGTTCAAATTCTTTGTCTGTTTCTTAAGCATATAAATCTGATTTGAATTGCAGTTATTTTATTTCCTTTATGAACACTTATCTTATGAGGAAATCAAATGCTTTGTAGACCTATTTACCTTACTTTTGTTGCAATTACTCTTTCTGAGTTGCTGTAGATATAGTCTAGGCAATATGAGTGTAATAATAATGCAACATATTAAGTAATTTTATCTTTTAAAAAACACAAGTTTCATGAAATTTTAGAGCCCTGCAACTTTTGCTTTTGAATCTGTTGCCAAAAGACCTGTGTGTGGGTGGGTGGAGATGGGCGGGGATATCTGCTTCTCTCAGAGGTTTTTAAGAGCACAGCAAGTGAATATTAGAAAGTATACACTTGGGGCCGGTGCCACCACTCACTAGGTTAATCTTCTGCCTGCGGCACCGGCATCCCATATGGGCACTGGGTTCTAGTCCCGGTTCCTTCTCTTCCAGTCCAGCTCTCTGCTGTGGCCTGGGAAGGCAGTGGAGGATGGCCCAAGTGTTTGGGACCTTCACCCGTATAGGAGACCAGAGGAAGCACCTGGCTCCTGGCTTCAAATCAGCGTAGTTCCGGCCATGGCATCCATTTGGGGAGTGAACCAATGGAAGGAAGATCTTTCTGTCTAACTCTATCTGTAAAAAGAAAAAAAAAAAGTATGCACTTAATACAAATCTCAGTTTCTATAGCTCCTTTATATTTTCAGTATTTAAAGTTAATGAGGCCATCTTGACTCTGGCGATTTTTAAGGTCTATTAAGGATCATTTTTCTATAGTTCACTGTAAAATGTATTTGGTTTAAGAGCTCCAGCATTGTGGGTGACTCTTATACAGCAGCATTTTCCCAAGGTTTAAAGAAAAATAGATTTTATAAAAGGGATTCTTTTTAATGTCTCAGTACATTATTTTTGTTATTAACAGAAACAAGT